AAAGATGAGGCATCGGGGTGGCACTGAGGGGCTGGGTGCCCCCACACTCTTGCTCTCAGCAGCATTCGAGAGGGGCCCTACGTCGGGCGCGCCCGTGGGCTGCGACACAGGAGGCGGAGCCCGTGTGGCCGTGCACTTACCTTGGCCAGGATGCTTTCCCGGTGGGTTTTCCGTAGCATGTGCTTAAAGGCCAGTTCCAGGTTGTTCTGAAGCCTCTCCACCTTGTCCTTCTCCTGCAGCCACGGCCGACCTGCACCGAGACGGGAGAAGGCAACGGTGAGCCCTGACCAGGCCCAGCTGGCGGGGGGAGGGTGTCTCCCTCTCGGCCCGCGCCCACCTGTCCTCGTGGGCCGGTGCTTCCTGAGCGAAGGAGGGTGAGCAACGCTGCCCAGAGCCCGTCGTGCTGCTGTGTGACAGCTTAAGGCACAGGATGGATGGAGCTCAGCCCAATGCAGTCAGACTGAGCTGGCCAAGTGCTTTGGAGTGTCTGGATGACCTTCCGCTGGGGCTGAGGATTGTGACAGAGTCTGTCCAGCCACGGACACCAACCCTGGTCAAATGCTAGTCAATGGGATTGGAGTGACATCTCGCCTCCTTCCACGATCCAAGCCTGGGCCACTGAGCACAGGAGTTGGGGGTGCATGGCCTGCCAGATGCAGTAGGACAAGAAAGGGTGATTCTAAAGCCCCATCAGTCTCTCCCTGGTTCCACGTGCAAGGACCAGACTGGGGGAGGAAGGGTACACCCTCAGCGCTGACTTGGAAACGGGCACCTTGGGGTGAAACCCAGCCGCTTGCCCCTCTCTGCTGGCTGGGGAGGAGAGGATACCGGATTCAGAAAGGAAAGGGCTGAGTTGGGGCTGATTCCATTGGTGTTTAATGGACAGCAAGGGGGTTGTGATTACAGGAATTTTGTCGTTCCGGTTTTGATATTCCATTGATCACACTGACCACTTGAAAACCAAACATTTTCCAGCCAAAGCCTGAAATATTTCAATTTACAAGGCTGCCATAATGCCACTTGGGGGTGATGGTTTCAAGATATCTTCTGTGTGATCTCCAGGTTCTCTGGTTGGACTACATTTCCCAGGATACCTCCCTTCACCAAGAGAGAACGTGGTGTATCATGGGAGTTGTAGTCCCGCCAGAGAGCCTGCCGTATGGTAGAGAATGGGAGCATGAGGCACTCAAACTACAACTCCCAAGAGGCACTGCAGTGCCGTTATGAAGTGAAATATTTCTGAGGTGGGTGCAGGGGGGGATCATCAAAAAGTCAATATTTCCCACGGAAACCCCCTCCCCCCATTTTCTGACCGGTTCTACTCGTGCGGCTGTCAATTAACCTCAGGTGTCCCCCACCCCCCACTATGGAGGCCACAGCCCTGGGAGTGAGGCGCTGCAGCAGAGGCGGACACATACTTGAGTTGATGAGCACCAGGGCGGTGAAGAGTGCGATCTCGTTCTCGGAGAAGTGCAGCGAGCACAGGCTGTGAGCGAAGTCGAAGATGGAGTTGATCAGCTCGTTGCACCCTGGGAAGCGGAGCAGAGCCATCAGCCACCTTCTGCTTCCTCCCAGACGACCCCACCTCCTCTCCAGTGCCGCCCCTAGGCCGGATTAGCCCTCCTGTCTAGCCAGACTCCAGCAGGGCCAATAGGCATCGCCGACCACCCGGCCACTGTCCCATCTGCCTCTGGGATCCAAACCATTTGGGGAACCTCACGGGACAAGCCCTCCACACCCCCTGGGTCTGGGGGGGAAATCCAGTCTCCTGGGCTCATATTACCCTCTGCGTCTCTTCTGAGATTAGCCACAACAGGCTCAGCTGGGCTGCAAGCCCCTCGCTACCGGGAACCAGGAAGAGGCCCGGGAAACATTATTTAATATTCCAGAAGCTTCAGCCCAGTCAAACCCCACTGCACTAGTAACTGCCCAGGCACACGGGACATGATGTCTGCTGGGCTCAAGGAGCCTACAGTCTAAGCAGCCATTGGTTGGGAATCTAGTTGGGCCTTAGTGCCACAAGCTAGATTTGAACCAGGGACCTAGAAAAGAAACCAGTTTCACAACTGGTTGCCAGCCAGCCCCTCGGCTATCAGCTGGGCGCAAATCAAAGTCACCGTTCCGGATCTAACAGAGCAGAGGTTCACACTAGACAGAGCCAGTGTTCCGTGTGTGCGGAGAACTTGGGCAGCCACCCAGGAGAGAATCAGGTGCTGCCCAGCTGATTCACAGAGCGCCCACAGCTGGCAGCAGGTGTTTCTACTGGTGGTGCACATCCACACATGCCTTGGTGCACATAACAAAATTCATTCCACACCAGAATGGGGGGGAAAATGAGAGCGAACACAAGGCGTGACTCAACCCAGTCGCCTTCTTCAGTACCTCAGTAGGCAGCGCTGGCTGCTCTGTCTGGAAGGATCCATCGCCCTCCTCCCCCCGAGATTATCTCTACAGAGACATTAGCACTGGCTTTCCTTGAGAGGAATTTCTCACCCAAGGCACAAAGAGACGCAGAGCAGTCAAAATCCTGAACTCAGCAGGGTCCTTTACAATGGGAAGGTGGTTTCCCGACAGCAGGGTAATAAAGGGGCAGTGGGGTCCCATGGAAGCAAGAGATCAAGGCCAGTCTTGTGGTTACGACACTGGACTTGGACTTGAAGTCATGACTCAGTTGCTGACACTGGGCAAGGTGTTTCAAATACGCTCAGCAACCCAGCATGGGAGCAAAGGGAGAACTGTGGCTCCTAAAAACACCTGGCTGCTTCACTTCTCTACCTAAACAGGAGCTGACCCCCGCCTGAAAATCCTGGTCTCCCTTTCTGGGCCTCAGTTTCCCCATTTGTAAAAGGAGGTTGGTCATCACTCCAGACCAGTGTGACCAGGCAGTCGGAGGCATGCCGTGGAGAACAGAATTCAAAATGGCTGCCCTTAAAGGGGCAGGCGACCTCTTTTTTTTTCCTCTCAATAACTTTCCCCCCGACCCTTTTTGGGTTTTTTTTTTTGTTCAACAAAAAAACCCTTGGTGTTCCTCATTAAAAAAATGATTGTTTGGTGTTCCTCGGTCTTAAAAAGTTTAAGAAACACTGCTCCAGACTCTTTAGTCTGCGAAGCTCTCTGGGGCAGAGACTGTCTTTTTCTATGTGTTAGTGTACAGCGGGGGCCCTGGGCTCAGTTGCTGAGCTGCACCGTAATACCGTGGGTATCATACCGAGCGATTTGAAGAGCTCTGGGCCCGCGTATTTGCCCTCGAAGAAGACCGTCCTGTTCTCCGAATTAAAGGCACGGCACATTCGCACCAGAACCACTTCCATGGCACCTGCAAAAACAGAGCCGGGGTACAGGGGGCGGAAGGAGCGAAGGAGTTGCAAAGATAAGCAGAAATGAGATTCCGCGGAGGTCCCAAGGTCGCTGCCTTGAGGCAGGAAAGCAGGGGAATCAAGCCAGCCACAGGCCTGGTATCTCACCCCCGGCTGGGGGTAGGAGCTGACAGCCACAGCCTTTGCAGCTTGCCGACATGGCCACCAGGCGGGCACCCTAGCTAGTCAAGTAGTGAGCTAGGTTCACCTGTGCTAGCCTGGCTAACTACAGCAGTGGCAAGGCGGTGGCCCGGACATGGCTGGCAAGGCAAGCACATACCAGGGAGGGCTTCACTGCTCTCTCGCTGACATTCACACAAAACCTGGCCTCGGCCACTCTGTCCCGTTCAGAGCGACTGGGAAATTAGCAGGGAACGATCCACCCCAGAGGTGGCGGGCGAGCAGGACGTGGGCTCCCACTAAAGGGAGCTGGTGGTTTGGGGACCAGCCCCGGTTTCACGATGGCGTCTTGCAGCAGGGTTAAAGGCCAGAACACAGAAGCAAGAGCCAACAGCCCCTGCAGGCCAGGCACTGCACCGCCGCATACAGGGCGGTTTCCCAGGGAGGCTGTTCACACCGGGCGCACGAGGGATCCAGGGGGAGAGGAGGCCAGGGGCTTCTCTCTGGGGCTCTGGCAGTCGCAGTCCCAGCCACGTACCTGCTTTCAGAAGCACGATCTGGTCGTTTTGGCACAGCTCCATGAAGCCTCCCATCCGCTTGGCAAACTCCACCACGTACTGGATGGCTTCTGTGATGCGGCAGGCACAGCGTTCCCACATCTCCTCCATGGACTGAAAGAGACAAGCCCACGGCTGCACCACTCTGTCCGGCTGGCCCATGGGCCATGACTCATGACGGGTGGCTGCTCCTTATCCCACCACCATGCCTGGTGTGGCTGCCCCCAAATTCCACGGGCCCCAGGCCACGCGGCATGGCAGCCCCATGGCCGCGTGCCATGCCTGCTCCAGACACTCCATTTGCCCCATGGGAGTTGTGGTTTGGGTATCTCATGCTCCTGTTCTACACAAATGGCTGGGATCCCCGGTTAGACTACAACTCCCATGATGCACTGTGGTCTCCCCCTTGGGTGTCCCTAACCCTGGTGGAATGTAGGGGATGAAGTCCGTCTGGGAAGCCCAGCCCCGGGAGGAGAACAGGGGTATGAGTCAACGCAGGGGCGAATCTGAACCAACATTTTCCATTTTGGAACATTCAGGAATTTTCGGGGGGGGGGAGGGGTGAAGAAAAACGGAAAATTTCTCGTGGGAAGGGGGCATTTTCCTTGCAATATTTCACTGAGTCGAAAATCCAAGTTTCTGCCCCAAACCAGTTACAAGGGAGTGGTTTTGACCAACTCTCCCCAGTTCCTCCTGGGTTTTCACAGCCCCTTTTACTGCGCTTTGCACCTCCTGAGTCCTGCCAGGGCCGTTAACCCTTTCAACTCCTCCACAGGGTACGGAAGCCCAGCGATTGCTCAGACATTCGCCACTTTCCTTTCCTGCTTGCACCGGGCCCAAAGCTGGAGTCAGTATTGATCCCAATGTTCCTACGGCAGGGCCATTACAAAGTGCTCCGAAATGACTCGGCCTCGCCTGGAAAGCTGATGAATCATTTAGCAAACCAGACAGAGGTTCCCATTTAGTTAATTAGCTGCTGAATCAGACAAGCTCATTTTCTTCCCTCCATCCCATCTCTTGATTTTTCTGCAAAGTCCTCATCTGAACCCAGCCGAGCGAGCGGTGACTCACACAAACCCCCTACGAGCCGAGGCCATGACAAACAATAGAAGAGCAGCATCAAGTCTATGCCGCTGATGTTAAACCTAAAAGTGTGGCAAAAGGCCAGACACGCTGCGCACTGGGTCATTCAGTCGCCCATGCTGAGTTTACCCTGACTGCAAACTCACTAGGGCTTCATGCCAGCTAAGAATCCTTTGCTATAGCCTCTTCCCCCCTGGTACAAGAGGAAACAGAAGAGGAGGAACTGGTGTTATTTACGAAGGCAGTTGACAGGCAGTCTCTAGGCAGAAGTCCTCCAACATTTAATAAGGTCCTGATCAACCGTCTCTAAACTTTTCCATCCACATGAAGATTTTTTTCCATTCATGTGCAGAATAATGTTGTTACATGCACTGAGGCATGTGTGGAGGTGCACCACCAGGAGAAACACAAACCCAGCTGTGCGGCACCGGAATCTCTCTTGAGCAGCTGCACAAAAGCCCAGTGTACAAGGAATCAAAGGTGAAAATAAGCTGATGTGGGGCACCAGTGAGAGGGTGGTCAGCTGGGGGAGTGGATCTAGATGCTGTCAGCACACAGGCTCCAGCCCCAGTGCTTCGGCAGTGTGATCTCCGCCGTCCCCGGGAGCTGGGCGATGCACCCCTAACCCCAAGCCCCACAACCTCCTGCCCTGACTCCTGCACCTCCTACCCTGAGTCCCTAACCCAAGGGCTAGATCTGGCCCACCAAACGGGTTGATCTGGCCCGTGGAGGCCCTGCTGCTCCCCTGCCCCCAGGCCAATCAGGCCTGGGGGTGGGGGGAAGTGCACAACATTTCCTCCACCCTGCCCCTGCCCTGCAAGGAGCATGTGGTGCTTAGAAGTGCCACGTGCTCCTGGCAGGGCAGGAGGAGACTTGGTGCGCTCCCCTGCCCCCAAGCCCTGATTGGCGTGGGGGCAGAAGGGGGAGCGTGCGAAGTCTACTCCCACCACCAGGGGCATGGGTGCCTAGGAGGAACCTCTTGGAGGGGAGGCAAAGACTTCACCCACTCCCCCACCGCCAGACCAGTCATGGTCCGTTGGTGGCGACGCAGGGAAATATCCTGGCCCCGCCCCTCCCGCCTGAGGCCACGCCCCTTCCGGAGCGGCCCAGTTGGAGGGGAGGCAAAGACTTCACCCACTCCCCCACCGCCAGACCAGTCATGGTCCGTTGGTGGCGACGCAGGGAAATATCCTGGCCCCGCCCCTCCCGCCTGAGGCCACGCCCCTTCCGGAGCGGCCCAGGGCCACTCCAAAAATTTCTGAAATGGTCCCTGGTAAAAAATTATTGCCCACCCCATCCCAATCCCCTGCCTTGGCTCCTGCTCTCCCCACACCCTCAAGTCCTCTGCCCTCAGTTCCCCTGCTCCCGTGCAGCCGTGAGCCCCCCCCCCATCCATCCTGCATTTAAATTTCTTACAGGTTCCTATTGCAACCCCCGTCCCCTAACTCCAACCCCAAAGGGGGGTTGTGATAGGACAACACCTGTAAGCCATTTACGTTACTTTCGCCCCTGCAGGGAACGCTGGTCTTGACAGACCTCAACTGAGGTGATTATCCTCTGGACAGAGTATTTAAGCCAGCTCTATAGAATTGAATATCCTTGCTAGAAAACCCTGGAGGCTGGTCTGTGGGAGATGCAGCCTCCCCTTCTTGGATGTAACTCCGCCAGGCTACTTCCAGGTGGACAGTCTGATTCTGCTCCTGGTAAAACTGATTCCCTTTGGAAACCAGCTGGGCCAGGAGGGACTTGCCTGAATGCCAGAGTCAATCAGCAGGGATCAGAACTTCAGTGGCGTCTCTTGGCCTAACCGCTAGGGAGCGCTGCCGCCTGCCCAGTCACAGTCTCAAACTGAAGTGCACCGGGGAGGGATCTGCTGCTTTGCCTCCGTTCCCCGCGGATCCCCTAGCTAGCGGGGAGGGGGATGTTTATGCTAGCCTCACGCCTCGTGAGCTGGCTTCCCAGGTGAACCGGCTACGGGCTTATCCCGTGCGGGGTGTCAGGCGAGCATTGAAGTCACAGCACCGGCCGTGGCAAGAGTCTCCATCTTCCCCAGCCCCGGTCCAAGCCACGCCCCTTGCCCCCCTTCTCACCTTCTTCTGGTAGCTCCGGACCTCCTCCCACGAGAACGTCTCCAGCCTCAGAAGCTGCAAGTCTTCCAGGCGCAGCTGGCAGGTCTCCCGGTAGGACTTGAGGACGTTCTGGGTCAGGTGCTCTGTGGACAGCAGGCAGTGAGGCTCAGAGGGGGGACGCGGGGAACGGCCGGGCCTGTTCTTGGCCTGCTGCCCTCATTCTCCCTTCAGTTTCTTTTGTGGTTTCCTGACTCTAATGCGCCGCGCTCCCAGCCTTGGCACGCAGGCCCGTGTGTGTAACAACCTGACTCCACCCCCCACGGCACGGCACTGAGCAGGGTTGGAACCTGCCGCGTTAACACCATGGCAGCGGGGGGGAAAACTCCATTTGCCGGCAGCGGCAGTAGGCTGTTATCCTCGGACGTGGACCAGCCCCAGCGCCAGGATGTTAGCACGGAGCTGAGTCTAAGAGCTGTCAACTGAGTCGCCACCGTGGACCGGACCCAGAGCCAACGACACAAGAGCTGCTCGAGCTACGAGACTGAGCTTGTGGCTGGCAGATGGAGAAGCCCCGTAACCCCTCAGCGGGTGATGAGCCCCCCTCGGTAACATGCTCCGAGTGGGGAATCCCTAGGCCAGTGGTCACCAAGCAGTCGATCGGGATCTACCGGTAGATCTTGGCGCCTCTGACAGGGGATCCTGACTGGTTTGGCCAAGAGGCTCTCAAGCACAGCACTTCATCTGCCCCTCCCTGCATTGCTGCTCATCTCCTGCCCTTTGGCTTGCAGCTGCCCCTTCCCCCGTGAGCCTCCTGCTTGCGGTACAGAGCAGGGAAGGGAGAGGAGGGGGTGCTGATGTCAGGTGCCCCCTCCCACCCTGTATTCTCTCTCCACAGAATGGAGGCAGGGGGCACAACAGGGCTTGGGATGGAGTTTGCTGGCTGCTTTTGGGAGTGGTGCAGGGGTGAGCCTGTCTTAGCCTCACTGCCCCGCCACCCAGGAGCCACCTGAGGTGAGCAGTGTCCAGCTGGAGCTCACATCCCAAAACCCTACCCCAGTCATGAACTCCCTCCTGCACCTCTTGCCCCAACCCTGAGCCCCCTGACCCTAAACTCCCTCCCAAAGCCTGCACCCCCTCCTGGACCCCAACTCCCTGCCTCAGGCTCAGCTCAGAGCCCCTCCCACCCTCCAAGTCCCTTAGCCCAAGACCAGAGCCTGCACCCCAACCATCTGCCCCTGCCCGGTGAAAGGGAGGGAGGACGGAGTGAGCAGGGGCGGGGCCTCGGAGAAGGGACACGAAGGAGGCGGGGCCAGGAGATTTGGGTTGGAGGTAGATCTTACATTGCACTTCAATTGAAAAAGTGAACTTGTGCTTAAAAAGGCTGGAGACCCCTGCCCTGGGCGACTCACCGATCTCCGTCACCGAGGAGTTGGGTGACTCCAGGATGCTGGTGAAGTTGGGACTGGTGTAGAAGTCGACAGCCTCCCCGACGTCGCCCCCGGCCTGGCCCCGCTTGCCCCCACCAATGTCCAGCCGGGCGAGGTCCGGCGACGCCTGCATCTCCAGCGTGTAGAAGACGCTGGCCCGGCTCTCCATCTTGATCCGCTCGGGGCTGTACTCCCGGGTGAAGGGGCCGCGCAGGTTGTCGCTCAGCCGGCTGTGACCCTTGGCCAGTCCGGTGGGATAGGCCAGAGCCGCCGTCTCGTCTGGAGACTGGCTCAGCCGCGCCTGTCCGCTCAGGAGGGCCGTGGAGCAGGCCGAGGACTCCAGCAGGTCCGGGGAGGGGGCCAGCTTGAGCTGCCCGTTAGCCAGGCCCAGGGAGGAGGCCGGGGCC